TTGGGTTTCTTGCGAGGGTTTCTTGCGGCCGCGCTCGCCCTTTACCGTTCTCGACGTGATGCCGACCGACCCCGCCCCCCCCCACGGCCAAGCATCTCCTGGGGGTCCAAGGCTGCCCCCGACCTGTCATGGGGCGCGTCCTGACTGGAACTTCGAGGCAGACCCAGCCGTGGCGACGAGGGTCCTCCCGACAGCGCCCGACGACCTCGAGCGTCGAGCCTCGAACTTCGAGCCTCGAGCCTGGACCCTCGAACCTCGAAGCCTCCCCCGGCCGAGCACCTCCCAGGCGCTCCGCGTCGGCCAGGCGGTGGAGAGCGCCGTGGACGGCGCGCGGGGCGTGGTCGTCGCGCGGCACCGGCTGCCCACCGCGCGGCTGCTCACTGCCGCGGGGCGGCCGTTCCAGTCGGCGCCTTCCGTCTGCTTCGGCCGCGTGCTGTTGCTGCTGCTGCTGCTCCTTGTCGTCCTCGTCGTCCCCAGCCTCGCCGCCCTCCTCGGCCCCGCCGTCCTCCTCCTGATGCTGGCCTCCACGCCGCCTGGTGCTCATCCTCTCGCCCTCCTCCACCTCCCCCCTCCTCCTCCTCCTTCTCCTGCTCCTCCTCCTCCTCGTCATCATCATCAGCATCATCACCATCATCATCATCCTCATCATCATCATCATCATCATCATCATCATCATCATCATCATCATCATCACCACCATCATCATCATCATCATCAGCAGTACCATCATCAGTATCATCATCATCACCTTCCTCCTCCTCCTCCTCCTCCTCCTCCTCCTCCTCCTCCTCCTCCTCCTCCTCCTCCTCCTCAGTACTCATCTTGGCTCAAGCGTTGCGCGCAGGCCTCGCCGCCGCTCCGCCGATGCCAGGTACACTCACGGGAGCTGGGCCCCGCGACGCCGTCGAGGTTGCCCGAGGAGCCCTTCTCGCGGCTCACGCCGCCTCCTGCCTGGCTGCCAGGCGGGCCTGCTGCGCGCGGCGATCGCTGACCTCGTCGGCGGCTCCGCGAAACAGGCGCGCTGGTGGAGACGGCACCGCCCGACCCTGGCCCCTGCGCACGGCGCCGACAGTGGCGGCCGCGCGGGCGCGGCAGGGTCAAAGGAGGCGCAGCTGAGCTGGGCCGCGCTGCGCAGTGCGCGGCGGCGGCTGGAAGCGTTGCGGAGCAGCCTGTCCTGCCTGCGGAGGACGCGCCGCCCAGGGTTGGCCCCCAGCCCAGGCGGCCGCGGCTCCTCGCGCGGCATGGACGCGCCTCGGAGGAGCAGGCCCAGCACGCGATGCAGGTTGAGGATGGTGTTGGTGATGGTGTTCTCGACGACAGCTGGGCTGACGACCTACCCCCGAGGCGTGCGGGGGCCGCCGCCGCAGGAGCGGGCGATCGCGGTGCAGCGGCTGCGGCGTCGGCCGCCGCGCCGCCCACGGCAGCGGGCGCTGGGGGCGAGGCCGCGGAGCGTGCTGAGCTCATGCGGCGCCTCGCCATGAAGTTCGGGCCCGCCGGCGAGACGACCGCCGTGATTTGCTGCGCGACGATCGAGCAGTTGCGGGTGTTCGCGTCGTTCAGCGACTCGGCAGGATGAATTCGTTCGTTTTCCTCGACCCCGTCGGCATGTCTAAGTCCGTCGGCACAGTCGGGAATCTGGCACCTCAGGTGGTGGCCAGGTCCCCGCGGTCGCGCCCGCTCCGGGGAGCGCTTAATTTCACGAGATTATTCCCCCCGGGGCTATCCTACCTACCTCACCCTCCTCATCCTCCTCTTTCTCCCTCTCCTTCTCGTCCTCATGTTCCTCCTCTTCCCGGTCCTCCATCCCTCTTATTCAGAAATGCATCATCCTCCTGGTCGCACCCCGCGACGGGTCGGAAGGAGGGCCAGGCGGGTCGCTCGAGACTTCTTCGCCATCTATGACTTGAAATTTACAACAGCTTCACAGATGGAGGGCGGGTCGTTTTCAAAATGTGATGTTCACGTTACCGCCGAGCACATTCGTTTTGAATGTTTGCCAGAGCTTCGCGGATGGAGGCCAGGCCATGTTCAAAATGTGGTTGTCGCATCAGCGCCGCGCACATTCGTTTTAAAAGTTTGCAAGAGCTTCAAGGATTGAGGGGGGCCTTTTCAATATGTGGCTCTCGCTTCAGCGCCGCGCACATTATTCTCCACAGTTTACAGCAGTTGCAAGAAGTCTTATGGCTGACGTCCCAGACATGGTGTTCTGGTACGATTTAGGATTATCACGGCTCGACGGTCACGTTGATTAGCAGTGCTGACGTCCCAGAATCTGCGTTCTGGCACGACTCAGGATCGTCAGGTGGCAAGAGTAGTGTTGATTCGCGGTGCTGACGTCCCAGGAATAGTGCTCTGGCACGGTTGAAGATGTTCAGACGGTTGTGTTCCAACGGGGCTCTTCCCACAGTGAAAATAAATCCTTATAGGAGCTTGTAAAGAGGGAACTTGGAAGGAGGGTTCGATGAGTTGGGCTTACACTGGTCCTCCTCCCCCTCCTTTTTCTCCTCCTCCTCCTCCTCCTCTTTCTCCATTTCCTCCTCCTCGTCCTCCCCCTCCTCATCCTCCTCTTCCCGGTCCTTCTCCTCATCAGCAGCATCATCATCATCCTCCTCTTCATTCTTCTCTCCCTCCTCCTCCTCCTCCTTCTCCTCCTCCTCCTCCTCCTCCTCCTCCTCCTCCTCCTCCTCCTCCCTTCCTCCTCTTCCTCCTCCTCCTCCCTCCCTCCTCCTCCTCCTCCTCCTCCTCCTCCTCCTCCCCTCCTCTCTCCTCCTCCTCTCTCCTCCTCCTTCCTCTCCTCCTCCTCCTCCTCCTCCTCCTCCTCCTCCTCCTCCTCTCCTCCTCCTCCTCCTCCTCCTCCTCCTCCTCCTCCTCCTCCTCCTCCTCCTCCTCCTCCTCCTCCTCCTCCTCCTCCTTTTTCTCGGGTTCGGATGCAAGTCGGGAGCCAGGCATGGGCCTGTTTGGGGCGCGTCCCTGCGCTTGTTGATCTGCGTTCTGCTCCCAATTTCTGGGGAGGAGTGGGAGGACGAGCAGGAGGAGAAGGCCGAGGAGGAGGAGGAGGAGGAGGAGGAGCAGCAGCAGGAGGAGGAGGAGGATGCGGAGGAGGAAGAGGAGGAGGAGAAGGAGGAGGAGGAGGAAGAGGAGGAGGAGGATGCAGAGGTGGCGGATCGCGGGCAGTCGAAAGAAAGCGTCACCTCAGCTGCATAGCACCGTGTTTCGTTGTTGCCCCTGGCTGGCAAGCCCGCGGGCGGGCGGGCAGGTCCTTGCCCGGCAAGATGTTGGCACACACACCAAGCAGCATGAGTCAGATGCACTTCCGCGCCTTTTGGGACGATCCCCTTCCCGCAGGCAAGCCCCCAATCCTGACGCGGGGCGGCGGGCGCTGGGCTCGAGCTTCTTGCTGGGCAGACGTTTGACAGCCAGGGCGCTCTCCCTGCCTTGCAGGGCCACCCAGGACCGCGTTCGAGCCCATCCTGGATCGGCCACCTGACCTACCGAGTCCAGAGGGCCACCGGCAGACAGCGAAGAACAAGAAAGGACATCTTGTAAACAGGATTTCTCGGAGCTCCGAGAAATTATGTTTATGCCGCTCTTCTCTCCTCTGAGACGTGCATTGTCACATGCATCAGCGGATGAAGGAGGTTGGCTGGGGGGGCATCAACCCCAGCTACCACCGCGAGCACGGGTGGCGCCTACTACCGCCTCGCTTCCGCTCCTCCTTTCGCCGATGCCCGTGATTATACGGAGGGCCTAAGGCAGCGGTGTATTATCTGGTCGCCTCCAGCTTTTCTCGCCACAGTTCCGTGCTCGTGAAGATGAGGCATCTTGGAGTCTATTGGGAGGCTTCTCGGGTGTCTCTTGGAGGCCTCTTTGGGGCCTCTCGGGGGCCTGCTGGGAGCCTCTTGGGGGCCTCTTGGGTGCTCCTTGGGAGCCTACTGGCAGTCTTGGGGGCCATCTTGGCGTGGACGGCTCCAAATATCGGTGCGGGTTCTCTTGGTTGCTGACAATTTGCGCGCCCTTGATCGTAAGGCTGGTACGGATGCACTTGTGCGGTTGGAAGCGTGTGCTTAGCGTGTCGCGCCGCCAGTTCTGGCCCAACGTGCTTCGGCGCGACACGCTATCCACTTCCTGGTCCCCGAGCGTCGCCGTCCCGAGCCTTCCCCAGCCTCCCCGCCCCCGAAGCGGAGCAACGCGCTGCCCGCTCGCAGGTCGTACCGTGTCGCCGGGGCCGCCGCCGCGACACGCGCAGCAGAAGCCCCTGACCCTTAGTCGTTCGACTACACGCAAGAGTGGCCTTTCGCTGGAGGGACCCTTTAGTGCGGGCCCAATGGGGCACCGAACGCGAGACGAGAAGTGGCGCCTCGCGCGCTCGTGTTTGGGCCCCCCGCGGCCCCCAAAAAGCCGCGCACCAGAGGTCACTCTTACCCAGGGTCACTCCTGCGTGCAGTCGAGTTATGAGAACACGCTGGATCGAAGCCGCGCGCGCGCGCTGCCCCGACGTTCCCGCATTGAGAGAACCCCCACCCACACAAGTCGATTGAGGAAATCTGCACTGGTTTACTCGACATTGGCATCCGAGTGTGCTGGTGCAGTCCCCAGTCGTTTCCGCCAACCGACGTGCGACCTCCCTGTTACATTCGGTTGTTCTTGGACGTCGGTTGGCTGCACCGCTGGGGTCCACCCGGGAGGCGGCCCCGTGCGCACGTGGAGTGCCCGCGGCAGCTTTCTCGAAGGGGCGCCTTGCCAAAGAGCCTTCCACCGTTCTCCGAGACGTCGCCCTCGGCAGCCTCGTGTACGGGGCGGCGGGCCCGCGGCCGGGTGGGCGCTGAGAGCGAGGGGCGAGGATGTGGTAGAGGTTGTGGGGGAGGGAAAAAAAAAAAAAAAAAAAAAAAAAAAAAAAAAAAAAAAAAAAAAAAAAAAAAAAAAAAAAAAAAACTTCTCCCAAGGGGGCGTCTCGCCAAGGAGCCTTCTGTTGCACCAGCCTTCGAGGCGTCGCCCTCCGCAGCCACGAGGCACGGCCCCCCCCTGGCGGCGGCCCCCTGCGGCGCCCCCCCCTGCGCCGCGCGGGCAGTCCGGGGCGGGCAGTCCGGGGCGGGCGTGGGGAGGCGGCCCCCCGGGGCAGCGCCCGCCTCCCTCGCGCGGGCCTTGCCCGAGGGCGGGCTGCAGGCCCCGCCTCCGCGCGGGGGGGGGGGGGAGGAGGAGGAGGGGGGCCGGCGGGGCGCGAGGGGAGGGCGCCTGTTCGGCGGCGCGCGCAAGGAGGTGGCGGGGGGGGGGCCTTCTACCCTTCTACCCTGACCTTCCAGAGTGCTAAGAAAATAGTCTTGCACTCCAGACCTATGTATCTATCTGGACTGCCTCAAACGTCGACAGAAATTAGGACGTCGACGTCCTGGTGCTATTTTTTTGCCCTCCTGGAAGGTCATGGTAAGAATCGGGGGGCGGCCACGAGGGTGGGGGAGGGGGAACGGACTCGGGGGGCAGAAACGCTCCAGGACGAAAGGCGGGCCCCGGGGGGCCCAGGGCCCCGAGACGCGAACGCATCGAGTCGTCGCCGGGTGCAGGCTGCAGACCACGACCTATGCAAACCACACCCCTCGGAGTCGCCGACCTCCCCTGAGATCCGACGCTGCCACGAAACAGAGCCCCGGACCCTGTCTTTCTGCGTCACCGTTGGAGCCGGATCGATGTGTGAGGTCCCCGGGGCCCACAGAACGTGAGAGCGCCCGGCTCGAACAGATCGAGATGCCGGGACCTCAGGGCTCGGAGTCGCCGGCCTCCGCGCAGGCGATGGACGGGGCCGGGCGCCTCGCAGACCCGCGGGGCCGCCTCGGCTGGGCGGACGGCCTGCCAGGCTGCGCCGCGCTGCCGGCCCCCGTGCCCTGCAGCTGGGCGGGCGGCCGCGGCGGGGCGGCGCCCTGCGGGGCGGCGGGCGCTCCGTGGGTCGAGCCCTGGGACCGCCGCGGCCTCGGCGCCGAGGCTGGCGCCCCCTCCTCCTCCTCCTCCTCCTCCTCCTCCTCCTCCTCCTCTCCTCCTCCTCCTCCTCCTCCTCCTCCTCCTCCTCCTCCTCCTTCTCCTCCTCCTCCTCCTCCTCCTCCTCTTCCTCCTCCTCCTCCTCCTCCTCCTATTCCACTAATTTTCCGTATCAATACTTTCTTCCTGTCGCACCCCGAGGCCAGTTTTTAGGGCGGCCCGGGCGTTTTGCTTGAGACTTCCTCAGCATGTATGACCCTGGATTTAAAAAATTGGCAACAGCTTCACAGATGGAGGGCGGGTCGTTTTCAAAATGTGGCTCTCGCCTTAACTCCGCGCACATTCGTTTAACAAATCGCAAGAGTCTCACGGATTGAGGGCGGATCGTTTTCAAAAAGTGGTTTTCGCCAGCGCCGCACACAATCTTGTGAAAAAGTTGCAAGAGCTTCAAGGATTGAGGGCGGGTAGTTTTCAAAATGTGGTTCTCGCCTTAGCGCCGCGCGCATTCGTTCTAAAGATGTGCAAGAGATTCACGGAATGAGGGCAGGTCGTTTTCAAAATGCGGCTCTCGCCTTAGCGCCGCGCACATTCGTTTCAAACATTTGCAACAGCTTCACTGATTGAGGGCGGCTGTTTTTCAACATTTGGCTCTCGCCTCAACGCGGCGCACATTCGTTTCAAAAAACTGCAAGAGTTTTACGGATTCCCATTATCAACGTACCAAAAGTGGTGTGGTGGAAGGATTCCGGATTATGCGGGCGCAACAGTTATGTTGATTCGCGGTGTCGAAGTCCAAAAAAATGGCGCTTTAAAACAAGAGCTTCACTGAGGGCAGGTGGTATTCAAAATGAGGCTCGCCTTAGCGCCGTGCACATTCGTTTTAAGAAATTTGCAAGAGCTTCACTGATTGAGGGCGGTTGGTTTTCAACATGTGGCTCTCTCCTTTAGCGCGGCGCATATTCCTTTTAGAAAATGTGCAAGAGCTTCACTTATTGAGCGCGGCTTCTTTTCAGAATGTGGCTCTCGCCTTAGCGTCGCGCACATTCGTTTAAAACATCACAAGAGTTTGACATATTCCCATGGTCAACGTACCAGACATTGTGTATTGGGAGTGTTCTGGATTATGCAGGTGCAACAGCTATGTTGATTCGCGGTGTTGAAATCCCAAAAGAGGCGTTCTGGCACGATTCCACATCGCCAGGACGCAGCAGCCAGGTTGATCCGCGGAGTAAAACTCCCGATCCTAATGTTTTGGCAAGCTTCAAGGTCTTCAAACGGTTGTCTTCCAACGAGGCAATTCCCTCAATGGAAATGAACCGCTGTAGGGGCTCATGAAGAGGGAGCTTGGAGGGAGGGTTAATTCCAACATCATTGATGTCTCTTGGGGTTAAACTGGTCCTCCTCTTCCTCCTCCTCCTCCTCCTCCTCCCCCTCTGCCTCCTGCTCCTCCTCTTCCTCCTCCTCCTCCTCCGCCTGCTCCTTCTCCTCCTCCTCCTCCTCCGCATTATCCTCTTCGACCTCCTTTTCCATTCCTGCTCTTTATAAATACTTTCCCCATGTCGCACCCCGAGGCCAGTTTTTAGGGCGGGTCGGGCGTTTCGCGTGAGACTTCCTCACCACGTATGACTTCGAAGCATGAAAAATTGCAGCTTCACATATGGAGGGCGGGTCGTTTTCAAAATGTGGCTCTCGCCTTAGCGCCGCGCGCATTCGTTTGACAAGTCGCAAGAGTCTCACGGATTGAGGGCGGGTGGTTTTCAAAGTGTGGCTCTCGCCTTAGCGCCGCGCACATTCGTTTCAACAAATTGCAGGAGATTCACGGAATGAGGGCAGGTCGTTTTCAAAATGCGGTTCTCGCCTCAGCGCCGCGCACATTCGCTTGAAAAAACTGCAAGAGTTCACGGATTGAGGGCGGGTGATTTTCAAAATGTGGTTCTCTCCCTAGCGCCGCGCGCATTCTTTCTAAAGATGTGCAAGAGCTTCACGGATTGAGCGCGGGTGGTTTTCAAAATGTGGCTCTCGCCTTAGCGCCGATCACACTCTTTCAAAAAATGCGCAGGAGTTTCACGGAATGAAGGCGGGTCGTTTTCAAAATTTTGCTCTCGCCCTAGCTCCGCGCACATTCGTTTCAACAAACTGCAAGAGTTCTACGGATTCCCATTATCAACGTACCAGAAGTGGTGCTGTGGAAGGATTCCGGATTATGCGGGCGCAGCAGTTATGTTGATTCGCGGTGTCGAAGTCCCAAAAATGGCGCTCTGGCACGTTTCCAGATCGTCAAGACGCAGCAGTCAGGTTGAGCCGTGGAGTGGAAATTTTGAGAACAATGTTTCGGCATGCGTCAATGTCTTCAAACGATTGCCTTCCAACGAGGCAGTTCCTTCAATGAAAATGAACAGTTGTAGGGGCCTATGAAGAGGGAGCTTGGAGGGAGGGTGAATTCCAACATCGTTGATGACTCTTGGGCTTACACTAGACATCCTCCTCCTCTTCCTCGTGTTCCTCCTCCTCCTCCTCCTCCCCCTCCTCCGCCTCCTCCTCCTCCATTCCCTTTGTTTGTTGATAATTTCTCCCTGTCGCACCCTGGGTTTTTTGGGGGGGCGGGCCGGGCGTTACGCCTGAGACTTCCTCACCACGTATGATTTTGAAGCTTCGCAATTGGCAACAGCTCACAGATGGAGGGCGGGTTGTTTTCCAAATGTCGCTTTCGCCTGCGCGCGGCGTACATTCGTTTTAAAAATTTGCAAGAGCTTCCAGACTGCGGGCGGGTCGTTTTCAACATGTGGTTTTCGCCTTAGCGCGGCGCACATTCGTTTTAAAAATGTGCAAGAGCTTCACGAACTGAGGGCGGGTGGTTTTCAAAATGCTGCTCTTGCCTTGAGTGCGGCGCACATTCTTTTTCAATATTTGCAAAGACTTCACGGATTGAGGGCGGTTGATTTTCAACATGTGGTTTTCGCCTTAGCGCGGCGCACATTCGTCTTTGAAAATGTGCAAGAGATTCACGGACTGAGGGCGGGTGGTTTTCAAAATGTTATTCTCGCCTTGAACGTGGCGCACATTCGTTATTGAAAAATACAAGAGATCCACAGATTGAAAGCGGTTGTTTTTCAACATGTGGTTCTCGCGTTTCGCGCGGCGCACACTCGTTGTAAACATTTGCAAAAGTTTCATGGGTTCTCATCATCAACGTGCCGGAATTGATGTTTTGAACGGATTTAGGACGACGTGGGTGCAATAGTTATGTTGGTTCGCTGTGTTGAAGTCCCAAGAATGGCGTTATGGCACGCACGATTCAGGGTTGTCAAGACACAACAGTCAGGTTGAACCGCGGCGTTGGTTTATTCCAACATCGTTGATGATTTGTGGGTTTACATTGGTCCTCCTCCTCATCCTGCTCCTCCTCATCATCATCATCCGCCTCCTCCCCCTTCTCCTCTTCCTCCTCCTCATCCTCCTCCTCCGCCTCCTGCTCCTTCTCCTTTTCCTTCTCCGCATCCTCCTCTTCTTCCTTTTCCTCTTTTTTTTCCTCCTGCTCCTCCTCCTCCTCCTCCTCCTCCTCCTCTTTCTCTCCCTCCTCCTCTTCCTCCTCCTCCCCCTCAACCCCCCCCTTCTCCTCATCTTCATCCTCATCCTCCTCTTTTTCCACCGGTTCCTCCTCCTCTCAAGCACAAATTGGCTCGAGCGCATCATTTTGTTGCAGTCTCGCGCCAAAGCCTCTCAATTCCCAGCAGTGCCTGAGGGGCAGCGAGCCACCAGCTCTCCTTTGCAGTTGGCGCTCTCGCTGGCTAAAAGAGGTGCAGCCATGGCGACCAAGCAGCATCGTGTGTGGACCACTTGCAAGTCGTGCGGGACACATGAATATAACCACATATTGCAGGCGCATAAATGCAAATGCAGAAAATATGGGCGGCAGGTGAAGTTCCACAAGGCCAAGCCGCCAAAGGGAGACACCGCCGCGCTCGTCGACCCCAGCGCCCACCAGCCCACGGTCGAGGGTCTCTTAGCGCAGGCTGCGTTGATGACCAGCGACCCCGTGCTGAAGCAGGTGTTGCACGAGCAGGTGAAGAAGAGCCTCCTGCGCAGTCTCAGCCGCCGGTGACCGCGGCGGAGGCGGTGCGCAGGGCTGAAGGGGTGTGGAAGCAGGCGTCCTTGCAGTACGAGCAGACCTCGTCGCAGGTGCAGCGTTGCAAGGACAGTCTAGACAAAGCCAAGGCTCGTGAAGCCGAGGCGATCAGGGCCCTGGTTACAGCGGAGCTCAGTCGGAAGGTGGCAGCCAAGGCCATGGCCCGCGAGGCCGGCGTGGTCGAGAGTACCAGCCTTTACCCTCCACCAGGAGGCAATGGCTCCACGTTCATCGACTTGCAGTGGGACACGGCATTCTTTAAGGAGCTAGACTCGCTTGATTGCACGGAGGCCGAGCGGTCGAAGCTCAAGCAGTCCGAGGCGGACTTACAGACGGCCAAGACCAAGTTCTCGGCCAAGGTTAAGGAGATCAACCAGTGGAAGGCGTCCGTCACCGAGATCAAGCAGAAGATCGAGGAGCGGATGCAGAAGAAGCGGAAGGTGGGCTCGGAGTCGGTTGTTGCAGGCGACGCTGGCGGAAATGGCAGCACCGCTGGCGGCGCTCCTCCACCTCCAGCAGCGTCGGCTCCCGCGGGCCCGACCCAGGAGGAGATCGACGCCGAGGTGTAGCGCATCCGCAAGGCGCGCGAGGCCGGCGCAGCCGCCGCCGCGCAGGCTGCGGATACCCCCGAGGGCGGCCCGAAGGCGTTTGCTGCGGGCGCCGCTGGGGGCGCGGGCCAGTGACCCCGCGGGCAGGCGGCTGGAGGCCCAGCGGCCCCTTCCAGCTCAGCCGCCAGCGGAGCCGCGGGGCGCAGCTGCGCGGGCCCAGGAGCCCGCGGCGGCAGCGTCCGACGAGGAGGAGGAGCACGAGTGCAAGATGTTCTTCGCGAGCATCACCGTCTTGGGGAAGAAGTCTTGGGCCTACCTCAACAGCAGCGAGGTCAGGAACCAGTATCAGTACATGGGGGTCGTCGAGTCGCACGCGCTGGGGAGCGGGCCCACTCGCAGCGAGTGGGCGCGCAGGGCGCAGGCGCCCAAGTGGCGCTATCTCGGCAACGGCGCGAGGGGCACGGGCAAAGGGAAGTCCGAGGCTGCTCGCGAGAAGGCAACGGAAGGCGGGGAAGTCTTTTTGGCCAGGAACTACAGGCACGTCCAGCGCTTTTGCGAGAAGGCGCGCGACCTGCCAGCCTATTGCGCCGAGGGGAGCGACTCCTTCGACGGCTTCTTGCCCGTGCTGATCCACCAGAAGGGTACACGTTCGCGGCGGTGCTCTTCTACGGGTACCCGTCCATCTGTTTCACCATGGGCAACGTCAGGAGGTTCGGCAATGCCGGAGCCATCGTGCGGAGCCTCCAGCTCCCTTTGTGCGTCATCGGCGATTACAACATCGATATTCACACCATGGCTAAATCTCAGCTTCTGCATAAGATAAACGGGCACATCATGCGGCCGTCCGTGGAGCACACGTGCATGGGAGGCTCAGGGAACTCACACGTGGACTATATCATCGCAGGCGCCGCTTGTGCACCATATATTAGAAGTGTAGAAGCCGTGTCGCACGTCCCATGGAAACCTCAATGTGGTTTGTCCATATGCTTACATGGATCAGGCCAGCAATTAATGATGCGTAAGCTTGTCTCAGCCCCTCACTTACCTCGCGTGGAGAGACCAAAAGTGGGCCCCACAGCGGGCTCCAAGTCCAGCAAGGCTCGTGGTATGCGTCTCGCCCAGCGTGAGCTCGCCCGTGAGAAAAAAACACGCTGATGTGCAATGAGCTGTACTCTGATGTTCTGAGGCGGCCTGCCGAGACAAGCAGCAGGGTGGATTTGAGTAGCGAGGACGATTCGGGTGCCCTCGTTACGTCCTCGCCTGCTATCGGTGGGGCGCCGCCTAAGGAATTTGGGGAGTTTTGTTTCGAGCCCGAGAGGGAAGAGGACCCTTGGGCCCACGAATCTAGTTTTCAGCCGGCGGCGCGGGACGAGCTCCCCATCCTCCTCAGAACCCGTTGCATCAGCATCCCCCCCAAATTCCGCATGCTCCTCCTCCTCCTCTTCTTCCTTCTTCACTTCCTCCTCTTCATCCTCCTCCTCCTCCTCCTCCTCCTCCTCCTCCTCTTCCTCCTCCTCCTCCTCTCCCTGCTCATCCTCCTCCTCCTCCTCCTCCTCGTCCTCCGCCCCCTCATCCGCATCCTCCCCCACCTCATCCTCATCCTCTTCTTCCTCCTGCTCCTCATCATCATCATCATCCTCCTCCTCCTCCTCCTCCTCCTCTTCTTCCTCCCCCTCCTCCTTCGCATCACCATCATCCTCATCATCATCATCATCATCAGCATCATCAGCAGCAGCAGCAGCATCTTCATCAGCAGCAGCAGCAGCAGCAGCAGCATCAGCAGCATCAGCATCAGCAGCATCATCATCCTCATCCGCATCGTCATCCTCCTCCGCCTCCGCCTGCTCATCCGCCTCCTCAGCCTCCTCTTCTTCATCCTCAGCATCCTCATCCGCGTCCTCTTCCTCCTCCATATCGTCTTCATCCTGCTCCTCCTCCTCCTCATCCTCCCCCTCCTCATCCTACTACTCATGTTCTTCCTCCTGCTCCTCCTAATCCTCCTCCTCCTGTTCCTGCTCATCGTCCTCCTCCTCCACATGCTGCTGCTGATGCTGCTTCTCCTCCTGCTCCTCCTCCTCCTCCTCCTCCTCCTCCTCCTCCTCCTCCTCCTCCTCCTCCTCCTCCTCCGCACCAGCATCCGCATCCGCATCCGCATGTTCCGTCTCCTCATCCTCATCATCATCCTCCTACTCCTCGTTCTCCTCCTCCGCATCATCCTCCTCCTCATTCATCATCAGCATCTTCCTCCTCCGCCTGATCATCAGCCTCCGATTCGTCTTCCTGCTCCTCATCCTCCTCATCCTCCCCACCCTCATCCTCCTCCTCATCAACATCATCATCAGCATAATCATCAGCATTCTCATCCTCATCCTCATCCTCATCCTCATCCGCCTCCTCGTCCTTCTCATCCTCCTCCTCTTCTTCCTCCTCCTCCTCATCCTCATCCGTCAGGGGTGTGCCGAAACGGGCCGCGCGGACGCATGTAGACCATGTTGTTGGGGCCTTCGGTGGAGCTCCCCACGAAACGTGCGAAGAGTGTGCCGGCATGCGTCGCGCACACTCATGTAACCTTTGCCGTTGGGGCATTCGGGAGAGCTCCCTACGGGACCGCGAAGCGTGTGAGGGGTGTGCCGAAATAGCTCGCGCGAACGCATGTAGATTTTGCCACTGGAGCGGTCGCTGGAGCTCATTCTGGGGCAACGAAACGCGTGGGGGGTGCCGAAATGGGTCGCGCAGGCGCACGTAAACCTTGCCATTGGGGAGTTCGAAGGAGCTCCCGATGCGGCCACGAAACGTGTGAGGGGTGTGCCGAAATAGCCCGCGCGGACGCGTGTAAACCGTGCCAGTGGAGCTTTCGGTGGAGCCCCTTTCTGGGGCCACGAAACGTGCGAAGGGTGTGCCGACATGCGTCGCGCGCACTCATGTAACCTTTGCCGTTGGCGCCTTCGGTGGAGCTCCCTACGGGACCGCGAAACGTGTGAGGGGTGTGCCGAAATAGTTCGCGCGAACGCATGTAAACTTTGGCACTGGAGCGTTCGCTGGAGCTCCCTTTGGTGCCAAGAATCGTGTGGCGGTGTTCCTATGGGGCCACGAAACGTAAAATGGGTGTGCCAAAATGAGCCGCGCTGACGCATGTAAACCGTGCCACTAGAGCCCTCGGTGGAGCTCCTTGTGGAGTCACGAACCGTGTGAGTGGTGTGCCGAAATAGTTCGCGCTGGCGCATGTAAACCGTGCCACTAGAGCCCTCGGTGGAGCTCCTTGTGGAGTCACAAAACGTGTGAGGGGTGTGCCGACATGTCTCGTGCGGGCGCATGCAAACCTCCCTATGGGGCCGCGAAACGTGCGAAGGGTGTGCCGAAATGTGTCGCGCGGGCGCATGTAACCCTTGCCGTTGGGGCTTTCGGTGGAGCTCCCTACGGGGCCACTCAAAGTGTGAGGGGTGTGCCGAAATGGATCGCGCGGACCCACATTAACCCTGTCACTGGTGCCTTCGGTGGAGCTCCCTACGGGGCCACGAGGCGTGTGAGGGGTGTGCCGAAATGCGTGGACGCATGTGAACCGTGCCATTGGAGCCTTCGGTGGAGCTCACTAAGGGGCCACAAAACGTGTGAGGGGTGTGCCGACATGGGTGCGGCGGGCGCATGCGAACGCAGCCGTTGGGGCCCTCGGTGGAGCTTCCCATGGGGCCACGAAGCGTGTGCGGGGTGTAACGGCAGAGGCAAGAAGAGGGAGGAGGGAGGAGGGGGAGGAGGAGGAGGAGGAGGGGGAGGAGGAGGGAGGGAGGGAGGAGGAGAGGAGAGGAGAGGGCTGTCTCTTCAAAACAAGGACCCAACACCACAGTATGGCTGGGAATCAGGACATAGCATGTCAGGGTCCCCCTCTTCCCCCTCCTCCTGGTCCTCCTGGTCTCCTCCTCCTCCTCTTCCTCCTCCTCCTCCTCCTCCTCCTCCTCGTGCTCCTCCTCCTACTCCTCCTCTCCTCCTCCTCCTTCCTCCTCCTCCTCCTCCTCCTCCTCCTCCTCCTCCTCCTCCTCCCCCCTCTTCTCCTCCGCCTCCTCCGCCTCCTCCGCATCCCTCATCTTTGTCCAGATTCCTGGGGGTCCAAGTCATGAAAAAAACACGACGTCGGGGGTCTGGGAGGGGGACTGCGGACGGCCCTGGCCAGGTGGACCTCGCGCAGCAGGAGGCGGTGGTGAGGGGCCTGCAGGAGGAGATGTCCCGTATGCGCGAGGCGGTGGACCTGCAGCAGGACGCCGGCCCCACTCCGCCTCTCCTACAGTTTTTTGTGGAAGGGGAGGGTGTGCCCTTCGAGCTGGCTGGTGGTCTGAGGCGGCCCAGCACTGGTTCCTGCCAGCAGGAAGGGGGGCGAGTTTCGAGGTGCTGGGTTCGGAAAGGTTTTTACCTTTTTCGGCAAAATCGGATCCAGGGCGAAAAACCACAGGGGTCTGGGATCGATTTTAAGCGGATTTGATTTCATACCCCTTCCTATTCAGATGCGGCCACCTCCAGGTGTGCTTTGTGCCCAGGTGGAGGGTCGCCCTCCACCTGGGCGCCTACAAGTTACCCCAGCGAAGCATCCTGATAGCAGCAAGGGTGAAAGAGGCGGGTCGAGGAGTGGGAGGTCGACGAGTGAAAACATACAGTCCTAGGGATTCCTAGGAGCGCTGACAGGCGGGACGGTGGTGACAGCACGGCCGTGTGCAGCTTGGCGTGTTGTGCCAGAGATCGTGGCCGCCCAGACCAGAAATCCAACCAGGATGGGGCGAGAGCACGATTCCTGAATACGCTGTGTGGCTGAGGAAGTATTCGGCGAAACGGCTGCCGGACCGCTTCCAGACTGAGCGGTCCCAGACTCCCCGTCCCCTTCATTTTTGTTATTGCTGTTCCCTTGTGAGAAACCTCTGGCAAAACGCCGTTAGGGAAAAGTCCCAGATGGGCACACACACACACACACACACAAACAAACAAACACGCGCACACAACCCGCGTAGCTTGTCTGGACATGCGGCCGACACGCATGGCCCCAGCGGTCGCTTGTCCCGAAGATGGGCAAAGTGCCGGGGCCGCGGACTCGAGCAGCAGGATCTGGCTACACACAAGTGTGATAAAAAACGACTGTGTTGAAAAACAAGTGTGATGAAAAACAGGTTTTGATCACGCCTGTTCGGAACACTTGTTTGTCACACCTGTTTTTCTATCACACTTCCGCGGATTCAAGCAGCAGGATCTGGCTACGTGTGAGGATTGGCCCTCACGCCAGCGCAGCATCTGGCGTGCGGCTTGCGAAGAACGCGGGCCCAGGCCCCTTCACGCTGTGGAAAACTAGACGACGGACAGTGCTTGCTGTTACGTTCGCTCTCTGGGTGTCCTCGCTGGGCCCCGGGACCGTTCAAGAACGGCTCGGGGCGAAAGCCCGGTCCCGAGGAGTGGGTCGAGGCTTTGGGGGTCGACGCTGCGAAAAGTCACGTCGTGGGCGGTCTGGGGACCTCCTTCGCGCCTTCGGGCTAGAGAGGTACCGTTGAGGCCTCCCCGCGCTGTCGTCGGCTCCTGCAGCTTCTCTTGCGTCCCGATGCATTGCAGCCGCGGCGCCTCGCCGAGAGGCGTTCTCTGGAGGGGCCCGGATCGCCTCGAACGGCCGCCGGGGGCCCGAGCTGCAGCCCGCAGGCCGAGCGGCCCCAGGCGCCAGAGGGACCTCCAGGGCGCGCGGCCTCCGGGGTGGGCGCGGGGGGGGGAGCCCAGGCCCAGAGCGCGCAGGCCGCAGCTGCCGCCCCGCACGCCAGCGATCGGCAAGCGGCGCACCGCCCTGAGGGCCGACGTCACGAGAGCGCTGCAACGGCGCAGAAGGTCACCGCCAGAAGCGCGAGCCCCACCCTGCCGCGGCGCTCCTCGAGCTGGATCGACCTGCGAGGGCCCCAGAGCTCGAAGCTGGCCCAAAAAAGGGGGCCCCGAGTGGCAGCCAGAGGCCGAGGAGAGCGAAAGGCGTCCCGTCGTGATTTTCTCAACGCGAAGGGGCTCTGGGAAGGGCGACCCCCTCCTTCTTTTCTCCTCGTTCCTCCCTCCTTACACTTCGTAGATACGAGACAGGTCCGGATCACTTCAGGCATACAATCGTTTCTTCTGATCCTTCTGGGCATTTTCACGACCTCCACAAGGTACTCCGTGACATGTTCATCTTGCCGTTGCAGAATGCTCGTCGCCCAGAAGAAGGTCATTGGTCAATGTCGTTGTTGCTTGATGGGAAAACCGTCAGATCTGACAGCGCAAAGAAATTCAATATCACGAAAAGTCACCTCCGGAGCCCTGGACCCCATCTATCTCATTCATTTTTTCGACCGGGATCGATTCGTGAAGGCCCCAGTCCCCGAAACCGAGCGAAAACGCCCGCTGTGAAAAAAAGCAAAGCCAGGATCTCAGGGGAGTGGGAGGACGATTGGGTCGACTTGACGTAAGAGTGACCTTTCGCCGGAGTGACCTTTGGTGCGGGCCCCCCGAAAGCCGCGCACCAAAGGTCCCTTTTACCCAGGGTCACTCTTGCGAATAGCCGATTGGGGGAGGAGGGGAAGCAGGAGGCGGAGGAAGAGGAGGAGGAGCAGGAGGAGGCGGAGGAGGAGGAGGAGGGGGAGGGGGAGGAGGAGGCGCAGGAGGAGGAAGAGGAGGTGGAGGAGGAGGAGGACGACGACGACGACGACGAGGAAGAAGAAAAGGAGGAGGAGGAGGAGAAGGAGGAGGAGGAGAGGAAGGAGTGGGAGGAGGTTTGATTGTAAAAAACGGGAGGGCAACCCGTGCGCGCGGCCAGCAGGAGCGGCTGGACGCCGCGCTACCGCGCCTGGGGAGGCACGAGGCCGAGGTGCGGGCGCTGCGGAAGGAGGTGGCGGCGCTAACGAGCCTGGCGAAGCGGGAGCTCTGGCGTTCCCTGCGATCTTGGTTTTTCGTTTTCCTCCTCCTCCACAATTACTCAATATGAATACTACTCTCCTCCTTCCCCTGATGACGGGTTGGAGTGTTCGTCCCCCCCCCCCCCCGCGTATCGTTTTTTACACACAAGATTCCCCGGAGTTGGGTTTTCGCCTGCATTTTTTTCAAAATGCTGCTCTCGCTGAGGCGCCGGCCTCATTTTCGGGCCCCGCTCGTTCCGAATCGTGCTCCCGCTGCAGCGCTGGCCTCATTTCCGTGCTTCCGCTCGTTCCGAATCGTGCTCCCGCTGCAGCGCTGGCCTCATTTCCGCGCTTCCGCTCGTTCCGAATCGTGCTCCCGCTGCAGCGCTGGCGTCATTTCCCGTGCCATGCCACGGCATGCAATGCAATGCTAGGTTGCGTTCCGCTGCGCGATGCCATGCCTTCAGCTGAAGCTGTGATATGCAGTGCTTAAGTGCCACGTCGTGCTATGCCATGCTACGCTTTGATCTTCAACGCCATGCTATGCAATGTTATGTTCGGGGCCGCTGTGCGATGCCATGCTTTGCGTTGCAAGCTTTGTGATGCAATTCTTCACTACGCCACGCCACGCCATGCTGTGACATACTACGCTTTGCGGTGCTCTTCTACGCCATGCCATGCCGTGCTCTACAATGCATCGCGTACCCTTTCGGGATCATTGCCCTGCTCGACATCCGACTGTGCGAGTAGAGAGGGGATCTACGCCATGGTAAGGGATGGGAGGGAGGGGTAGGATGTCGGATATGACGCGAGCGCACCTAGCTTGTCCCCCCTCCCTCCCCCTCCCCCTCCCCCTCCCTCCTCCCCTCCTCCTCCTCCTCTCCTCCTCCTCCTCCTCCTCCTCCTCCTCCCTCCTCTCCTCCTCCTCCTCCTCCTCCTCCTCCTCCTCCTCCTCCTCCTCCTCCTCCTCCTCCTCCCCCTCCTCCCCCTCCTCCAGGCTGGCTGTCACCCGTGGACGGGGCTTCCCCTAGGCGGGGACCCACGACGCGGCTAGGGCAGCCGCTTTTGATCCATGTCTCCCTAGTTAGTTTCGGCTTGCTGCGGAGTTCATTTGGCGTGCGTCTCCTCCCCTCCTCCTCCTCCGCCTCCTCCTCCTCCTCCTCCTCCTCCTCCTCCTCCTCCTCCTCCTCCTCCTCATCCTCCTCCACAACTACACGATATGAATACTACTCTCCTTTTTCCCCTGTTGACGTCCGATAGATGGTCGGCCCCTCCCCGCGTACTTGTTTAAGCCAGGATTCCCGGGAGTTGGGTTTTTTTTTCGGTTCGTTGTTTCCAAAAATTTGCTCCCGTTGAAGCGTTGGCCTCAGTGTCGCGCTTCCGCTCGTTCCGAATCGTGCTCCCGCTGCAGCGCTGGCGTCATTATGTCCAGTGCCATGTCACGACATGCAAAGCAATGCTATGTGGTGTTCCGTTGTGCGATGTCACGCCCTCAGCTGCAATGCTAGGATATGCAGTGCTTGACTACACAGCGCCGCGCCATTCTATGCCATGCTACGCTTTGATCTTCACAAGCCATGCTATGGCATGTTCTGTTCTGCGCCGCTGTGCGATGCCATTCTTTGCCTGTAACGCTTTGTGATGCAATTCTTGACAGACTACGCTCTGCCGTACTCTGCTGCGCCCTGCCATGCCGTGCTCCACGATGCATCGCGCACCCTCTCGGGATCATTGCCCTGCCTTGCTCGACATTCGATTGTGCGAATAGAAAGGAAATCTACGCCATGGTGAGGGATGGGAGGGAGAGGGAGGACGTCTGATTTGACGCGAGCGCACCAAGCTTGTCCCTCTCCCCCTCCCCCTCTCCCTCCCATCCTCCTCCTCCTCCTCCTCCTTCTCCTCCTCCTCCTCCACCACCTCTTCCTCCTCCTCCTCCTCCTCCTCCTCCTCCTCTTCATCATCCTCCTCCTCCTCCTCCTCCTCCTCCGCCTCTCCTCCTCCATTCCTGTCCATTGCAAATAACTTCTCCCTGTCGCACCCCAGGGCCGGTCGAAAGGGTGGGCCGGGCGTTTCGCCTGAGACTTCCTTACCACGTGTGATTCTGAGCTTCAAACTTACGGATGGTTTTCAAAGTGTGGTTCTCACCGTAGCGCCGTGCACGTTTATTTCACCAAAATTCAAGAGCTTCATGGATTGAGGGCAGTTCTTTTTCAAAAGGTGGCTCTCGTCCTAGCGCCGCACGCTCCTTATCAGACGTTGTAAGAGTTTCACGGGTGCCCATGGTCAACGTACCAGACATTGCGCTTGGGAAAGATTCAGGACTCTTGAGAGCGCAACAGCTCCGTTGATTCACGGTGTTGAAGTCCCGGAATTGGCGTTCTGGCACGGTTCAGAATCGCCAAGACGCAACAGTCAGGTTGATCCGTGGTGTGTCCCGAGAATAATGTTTCAGCATGCTTCACGGTCTTCAAACGGTTGTTTTCCAACGAGGCAGTTCCCTCAGTGGAAATGAATCATTGTATGGGCATATGAAGAGGAATCTTGGAGGGAGGATTTATTCCAACATCGTTAATGACACGGCCTCCTGCCTCCTCCTCCTCCTCCTCTTCCTCCTCCTCCTCCTCCGCCTCCTCCTCCTCCTCCTCCTTCTCCTCCTCCTCCTCCTCCTCCTCCTTCCCCTGACGCCTTCACCAGCCGCTGTCCCCACGACGGTGGCGGTGGGCGTCTGTACCGCGACGACACCCCGCATGGCCCAGGATGTGTCTCCCTGGGGGCGGGGACATCATCGCCAACGGCGTCGCCGACTTCGACGACTGCGCCGCGTGGCTCGTCGGCGACCCCGCAGGCGGGCACTTGTGGGCCACCGCAGCTGGTGGCATCGGCGCATCAGCGCCTCGGCGAAGATATGAAGCAGAAAGTAGTTGATTGGATCTTGAGCTTGCAGGACCCCGAGGATGGAGCGACAAGGCGGCGACACGCGGGCGTGATGTACGTGCTCTTCACCACCCAGTGCACCATCGACGAGGCGGAGGCCTTGTGCGATAGGGTTTGGCGCAGGTCGGCCGCGACCCGTGAGGCGGTCCTGCGGCACCTCGACCTCTTGTCGCAGATGGAGGACCTCGCCCACTGGCGTGCTGAGGTCTGCCGCATTTGGGACGTGGCGAGGGCCATCGAGAACGAGTTCAGGGATCTCCTTGGACCTAACTCGATCCCTCGCATAGAGTACTATGACGATGACGAAGGCGCGTGGCAAGCGCCAGTTGATCAGCCAAGGCGCGCCCCCAAGAAAAAGCAGCCTGCTGATCGTGCTGATGCGTCCCTCTTCTTCGGGAACATCACCGAGTAGGGCCCCAGAGTCCACAAGTTCGCGGTGGGGCACAAGCACCTCTACGGCATGCTGGCGTTTGCGGAGACCCACGTGACGGTAGAGCGGCTGGTGCAGCATCGCGCCAGCTTGGACGTGGACGGTTGGGAGCTCTCTGCTTGCGCGGCTACGCGCACGGGCCGCTGGGCTGAGGGCGCGAGCGGAGGCGAGTGGATCTTGGCCCGCCCCCCACTTGGCGTCGACCCCACTTGGCGTCGGGCCCCCATGATCAAGGAGCGCCCCAAGGACCCGCTGGCACCTCCGAGCGGGCAACCTCATCGTGAGATCGGCTGACTTATTGCCGAACCATGGGTTTGGAGGATTGAACTCTGACCGACGGGCCTCGCTCAGGGCCTTTTTGGCTTCGGTCTCAGCCCCGTGGCCGATAGTTGCCGACTGGAACCTCACCCCGAAGGTCCTGTCGGGCAACCCTTTTTTGAAAGATGCTGGAGGTGAGATAGTCCTCCCCGACGTCCAGGTCACCCGCGACAAAGGTGCTGGCTCGCTGATTGACCACGTGGTCGCTGCCAAGTCGGCGGCCAAGCTTGTCACGGTCAAGGGCGTTCCGGCCGTCCCTTGGAAGGTCCACTGCGGCCTCCACGTCAAGAGCGGTGGCATCGCGCCATGGCCCTGCCTCGGCCACTACCAGCAGTCGATCGACCACCGACGGCCCCAGACCCCAGCAGTAAAAGCTACCATCGTAAGCAGGCAGCGCTCCGGAGGCGCGAGGAGGCCCTTCCTGCTGCCCATCAGGAAGCCTTTCAAGACCTGCATCAACTTCCAGATCCCCCGGCCTTGCCCAGCGACGACTTCGGCGTCGGCGTCGAACGCCGGAACGACAGCTCCCCTTTAGGCGAGGAGTTGTACACGAAAGCAGGTCTTAACGGGGAATTGGTTCGACAGCGCAGTGTCAACAGCGCAGTGTCAACAGCGCAGTGTCAACAGCGCAGTGTCAACAGCGCAGTGTCAACAGCGCAGTGTCAACAGCGTAGTGTCGACATCGCAGTGTCAACACCGCAGTGTCAACAGCGCAGTGTCAACAGCGCAGTGTTGGTCAACAACGCTATTGTCAACAAAGCATAATGGAAAGCGCAATTCCAACAGCGCAGTGTCAACAGCGCAGTGTCAACAGCGCAGTGTCAACAGCGCAGTGTCAACAGCGCAGTGTTGGTCAACAACTTTATTGTCAACAAAGCATAATGATAAGCGCAATTCCGACAGCGCAGTGTCACCAACAGCGCAGTGTCACCAACAGCGCAGTGTCAACAGCGCAGTGTCAACAGCGCAGTGTCAACAGCGTAGTGTCGACAGCCCAGTGTCCTCCTCCTCCTCCTCTTCCTCCTCCTCCTCCTCCTTCCTAATCCTCCTCCTCTCCACCTCCTCCTCCTCTCCTCCTCCTCCTCGGGGGAAGAGGAGGAGGAGACTGGCGGAGGAGAATTGAAGATGAGACTGGAGGAAGAGAATGGAGGAGGAGAGCGGAAGAGGAGAGTGGAGGGGGAGAGCGGTGGAGGAGAGTGGGAGAGAGGAGAGGAGGAGGTGGAGAGTCGAGGAGGAGAGTGGAGGAGGAGAGTGGAGGAAGAGAATACAGGAGGAGAGTGGAGGAGAAGTGTGGAGGAGGAGAGTGGAGGAGGAGGGTGGAGGAGGAGAGTGGATGAGGCGGG